CCTTCGAGAGCTAAATATGACTGACTCACTCCCCGTCCATGCTGTCGGAGCAAAACTCGGAGGGTGCAGCGGGCTGAGGGTGCAGCGGGCTGAGGGTGCAGCGGGCTGAGGGTGCAGCGGGCTGAGGGTGCAGCGGGCTGCGTGCTCCTGGTTATTTCCTGCCGGTGTCGCCCTCTGCCCCGGGACTCCTGGCTCTGCCCAGTCCCTCTCCTGGGCCGATCTGTACCGTGGAAACACGACTGTAGTCCTCGGCCCGTGTCCACACGAGCAGCGGACACGCAGACACGCAGGCGTGCGTGTACCCATGCAGCCACGCACGCGCCGCTAACCTGTCTTGCAGGTTCAGGTGTGTCAGGGCGGGCGGGGCAAGTGCAGCCTTTGCGAAGACAGAGTCTGGGAGGCTGTGGAATTACAGGCAGGGGGCGGGGCCGTTCAGCAGGGGCTGGGGGACAGGCACTGACACCTGCGGCTGGGAAGGAGCCGGGCATTCCGAGGTGGGCAAGGACCTGCCAAGTTCGCGGTACCGAGAGGGCATGAGCGAAGGGACAGCTGGTTCCCGTGAGACCGGGTCACACGGGGCCCAGGGGTCTCGCAAGGCCTGAAGATTGAACCCATGATTAGACTGGGGCCACGGGTTTTCGGGAAGAAAACCAGGGAGGTGGCGGGTGTCCCACCACATCGGCGCATGCACAGGCGCGCGGACGTCTGACCTGCATCCCCAGTGACGCGGGGAAGGGGGTGCCGCCAGGCCTCCCAGGGACTATCGCCAGTGTCGTCGCTTGTGTTCTAGGCAGCTGGTTCTCTGACAACCCATGTCCTTTCTGAGCAGCCGAATGTGCTGGAAAAATACACACACGGCCCGGCTGACGGAGCCCACTTTAAGTTCAGGGCCAGACCCAAGCAGGTCCTCCTTGTGCCTGGAAGCCTGACTCCATTTCCCCATCTGCTCCCTCCCTACTCTTTTCTCGCCAGTCCCCACCCCCAGCCTCAGGCGAGGACTCCCACGCCGCCAGCCCCCTCCCCTCCAAGGGCACAGGGTGTGCCTGGAACACACGATGCAGAGTGGAAAGAATAAGTCCCAGAGGACGGGGGATCCCACACTGGTGTCGCCAAACAGCATATTTTGGGGGGATATATAAGTAGTTGGCACATTTCTGAGAAAAACAAGAGAATTCAGGACAGCGGTTTCCTTGGGGAGGACCACATGGGGGCTGGCAAGGGCTGGTCATGCTGTTTCTTCAGCTAGGGAGTGGGTACGTGGGGGTTTGATTATCATTTTTAAATTCGATTATAAATTTTAATTTGTAAGTTTTCTTGAGCATAACTGACCACACATATTTAAGTGTACAGTTTAACAGGTTTTTGACACAACCATCTCCCTAATTAAGGTATTGAACACCCCTCACCCCCAGACTGTCCCTGAGCGGCCTGGGCCCCCTCCCCCTCGCCCGTCTCAGGCAAACTTCCGATCTGCTTTCTGTCACTATGGATCACTTTGCATTTCTAGAGTTTCATATACATAGGATTTTATATAAAGAGCATTCCATCGTGGGGTGGATCGGAGTTTGTTTATCTGTTCATCTGCTGATTCATATTTGGGCTGTTTCCAGCTTTTGGGAATTGCAAATAAAGCTGCTATAAACATTCATGTACAAATCTCTGTATGGGCATGTGTTCCCATTTCTTCTGGTAAATATTCAGGCGTGGAATGATCGGGTGTACGTTTAACTTTTTAGGAGACTGCCACGCTCTTTTGCAAAGTGCCTGGCCAACTCTACGTTCCCGCGGTGTTCCACATGAGCGGCAGCACTTGGTCTATTCAATTTTTCCTGTTCCAGTGGGTGCGTGGTGGCATTTTGTCATGGTTTTAATTTGCATTTTCCTAATGATGTTGGTCATCTTTTCACGTGCCTATCAGCCATCCATATATCCTCTCTGGTGAAGCATTTGTTCAAAGCTTTGGCTCATTTTAAAAACTGTATTTTTTTTTTTTATTGTCGAGTGGTAAGCGTTCTTTCTACTTTCTGATAGAAGTCATTTGTTAGGTATAGATTTTTCCACTATTTTCTTCAAGTTTGTGGCTTGCCTTTTCATTTTTGTTATCAGTGTCTTTTGGAAAGCAAAAGTTTTTAGTTTCTATGAAGTCCGTTATATAATTTTTTCTTTTATAGTTCATGTTTTAGTGTCCTAGTTAAGAAATATTTGCCAAACCCAAGGTTGCTAAGATTTTCCCCTGTTTTCTTCTAAAAATTTTATAATTTTAGCTCTTACATTTAGGTCTATGATACAGTTAAAATTAATTTTTGGATATGGTGTAAGTTAGGGTTGAATTTCTCCATCTTTCCTTTCCTTTCTTCCCCTCTCCTTCCTCCTCTCCCTCCTTCTTTCTTTCTTTCCATTTTTGTATATGGCTCTCCAATTGTTCCAGAATCATTTGTTGAAAAGACTATCCTTTCCTCATTTAATTAATTTGGCACACTGATTGAAAATCAATTAACCATATACACATGGCTCTACTTCTGAACTCTTGATTCTATTTTATTGAAAGAAAGTTCTCCAACTTTGTTCTTTTTCAAAATTATTTTGGCTAGCCTAGGCACTTTGCATTTTCATATAAATGTTAGGATGAGCTTGTCAATTTATACCAAAAAATCTGCTAGCATTTTGGCTGGGATTTCATTGAATCTGTAGGTTACATTTTGGAGAATTGATATCTTGATAATACTGAGTCCTCCATTAACATGGTATGTCTCTCCATTTATTTAGGTCTTCTTTAATTCCTCCCAGCAATGTTCTGTAGTCTTCAGTTTATGGGCCTTGTCTTTTTTTGTTTAATTTAGTCCTAGGTATCATATTTTTTCTCCATGCTGTTATTAAATTGTATTGTAGTACAATGTTTAATTTTTGGTAGTTACTAGTATACAGAAATACAATAGATATTTGTATATTGACCTTGTATCCTGCATCCTTGCTAAACTCATGTATTAGTTTTAGTAAAATTTTTGTGGATTCTTTAGGATTTTCTACATAGACAATTATATCATCTGTAAATAAAGATAGTTTTATGTCTTCCCTTCTAATCTGTATGCCTTTTATTTATTTTGCTTGCCTTCTTGCACTGACTAGGACCAATGTTGAATGGAAGTGGTGAGAGTGGACATCCAGCCTCATTCCTGATCTTAAGGGGAAAGCATTCATTCTTTTCCCACGAAGCGCGATGTTACCTCTAAGGTAAGAGGATGCCCTATTTAGGGCACAGATGTCTTTCATCAGGCTGAAGCAGTTCCCTATATTCCTAGTTTGCTGAATGCTGTTTATCAGGAATGGATGTCAAATGTTGTCAAATACTCTTTCTGCATCTATTGAGATGACATATGGTTTTTCTTTTTTAGTTTATTAATAATTTAATTTGTTAACCTTGATTTCCAAATGGAAAACTAACTGCATTCCTGTGATAAAATCCACTTGGTAGTGATGTATTGCCCCCTTTTTATATACATATATTGTCGGATTCGACTTGCCAAATGGTTGTTAAGAATTTTTATGTCTATATTCATAAGAGATACTGGTTTATAGGTTTCTTTTCTTGTAAATGTCTTTCTCTGGTTTTGGTATCAGGATAATGCTGGCGTCACAGAATGAATTGGGAAGTGTTACCTCGTTTTCAATTTTCTGGAAGATCTTGTGTGGAATTGTTATTATTTCTTGTGTAAATATTTGGCAGTGAAACCATCTGGGCCTGGAGTTTTCTCCGTGGGAAGGTTTTAAAACACAAATCCAATTTTTAAAATAGATTCAGGGCTATAATAAGGTTATCTGTTTCTTCTAGAGTGAGCTTTGATAGTTTATATCCTTTAAGAAATTCGTTAGTTTCATTTAATTGGTCAAATTTATTGGTAAAATATTGCTCATATCATCCCTTATTATCATTTCAATGTCTGTAGGATTTGTAGTGATGCTGCTCCTCTCATTTCCAGTGTTGGTAACGAGTGTCTTCTCTCTTTTTCCTGATCATTATGGCTACAGTTTATAAATTATATTGATATTCTCAAAGAATCAGCTTTGGGTTTCATTGATTTTCTTTATTTTTCTATTTCTATGATTTCTCCTCTTTGTTATTTCCTTTTTTCTGCTTACTATGCTTTAATTAACTCTCCTCTTTCTACTTTCTAAGCGGAAGCTGAGCCTTTCCTCTTTTCTAATGTCAGCATTTCTGATGTAAATTCTCCTCTAATCACTACTTTAGTTTCATCCCACAAATTTTGATATGCCATTTTTTCATTTTCACTCAGTTCAAAATATTTTCTAATTTCCTTTGAGATTTCCTTTGATATTTGATCCATAGATTATTTAGAAGTGTGTTGTGTAGTTTGAAGAGGTTTCCTAGATATCTTTCTATAACTGATTTATAATTGAATTTCATGATGATTTAAGAACATTCTTTGTAAGATTTGAATCCTTTAAAGTTTACTGTGGCGAGAGAGGAGGCTGGGGGCCCGCGAAGGCCAAGCCAGGCAGGGCCCTGTGGTGGGGGCTGCAGGGAGAAAAGGGTGATCGCCGGCATGAGCCACTCGAGGGTTTTGATCAGAGAGGGGGTTTGGTTTGAACTGTGTTTCTTAGTAAGCACTGTGGCTGTTGTGTGGAGGACAGTGCAGATATCAGGGACCTGTTTAGGGACCAGCTATGATAGTGGTAGGAACCGGGGTGGCCACCAGAGCAAAGGAGAGGTAAACGGATTTGGGGGCTGTGAGGACGTGGTGTGCACCGGGTAGGAGAAGGTGGGATGAGACACCTGGAATGGGACCGCAGGGCTTGGAGGTTCCCTGAGTGGGATGTCTGAGAAGGCTGTGGGGTAACTCTGGTGGCGCTAAGATATCAGGGACATGGGGGTGTTGAGAGGAGGGGTAGGAGCCTAACGTGCCAGAAAGAGGCCGGCCCTGGGTGTCGGGGCCTGGGCTCAGCCGTGTGACTGCAGGCGTGTCGGTCCAGCTCTCTGGGTGTTAGCTTCCTCCCGTCGAGAAGAGCTCGGCCTCGTAGATGTCGAGGCAGGTCAGGCCTGTCACGAAACAGCCCTATCTCAGCACAGCGAGGACCACGCGCAAGGTCTGAAAATCTGGGCAGAGGAGGGGGGCGAGAGTGGGGTTCACACTAGAGGGTCCCCAGGCCTTGCCAGGGTGAGTCCAGCAGCCTGGAGTGGGATCTAGGCTCTCTAGCAAGGCCCCGGCAGAGCTGGTGGGTGCCAGGCTGCCAAGGGCCAGGGAGACGTGGGGCAGGATGAGATGTTGCCACAGGCAGCCAGGGTGGTGGGCACAGGGGCTGCTGAGGGTGGCCCTGCAGCTCCCTGGGTCCGAGGTGCTTCTCGCTGTGAAGGTGAGGGTGTGCTGCGCCAGGCCCTCAGCAGGGGCCCGGGGTGCCCAGGTTCTCGGGAGCCTCGTCCTGCCCCCGCAGCCTGCCCGTGGGGGGCCCGACTCCTGGCCGGCTTGCTCTCAGGCGGGCCTGGCCTCAGCCTCCCCTCCCCACACGTCGCTACGAGGAGTCTCACGTCTAGCGTGGTGCCCACAGCAAGGCTTTGAACGTGTTCTGGGAGCGCTGCTGCCCCTCCGTCCTTGCTCTGCCCCTCCTCCCACCTTCCTCCTTGCTCTGCGGCCACCATGGGACACATGTCCCTGTCCCGTCCCCGCAGACTCCCACCCTGAACTATAAAAGGAGGCATGGAGAGGGTTTGGGACATCACCGCCTTGTTCAGAAAGAAAACAGAAGCTGGCCCGAGCGGCCTCCCCAGCTCTCTGCACACGAATTACTCCTGCTCCTTCAACAGCGAGAGGACACACACTTGCACCACACTGCACACTCACACACACGCACACGTGCTCACACACCTCATACTGACACACGCACGTGTGCACACACCCACACACGCGCACACACGCTCATGCTCCCACACACTCACACTCATACTCGACTCTGCGTGGCGCCCTTTCTGCCTCCGCTGGGGCAGCTGCAGGCCTCCTCAGCCAGCCAGGCCCTTCCTCCCGCCGCAGTCTCCGTCCTCCAGCTTTTAATTCTGCTCAGGCCCTGGTCCTGTCACTCCCTAGCCAGGTGATCTCGGGCTCCTGGCTTCACCTCTCTGAGCCTCAATTTCTTCATCAGGAAGATGGGCAGGGGCTGGCTGGGGCGACCGGACAAGCAGCAGAGGCCGTGAGGGTCACAGCCCAGGGCAGAGCCACTGCACGGTGGCTGGACACACCTCTTTGAGGCCAGGGAAGGGGGTGTGGGCAGGGAAGCAAGTGCCCAGGCTGCCACCAGGAAGCCCACCTGTCTCACCTTGTGGCCCCAGCACGTTGGCCAGAATGGACAGGCCAGCCGTGGCCTAGAAGCTGGCCTGGATCACACGGTGGCCAAGGAACCTGAGCAGGAAGGTGGTGGTGGCCCAGGCCAGGATGTCCACTGCTCCAAAGAGGGCCTGGAGGAGGAAGATGTCACCGCCCAGGCTCTGCAGGTCCAGGACCAGCCTGTAGTAGAACGCTATGGAGAAACTACAGGGCAAAGCCAGAAGTTGGGCCCCTGCCCCACCAGGAGAGGGCGCTCCTGCAGCATCGTCCTGGGAGGGCACAGCCACCCCGGCAGGTCCGCCCACCCTGAGCTTGTCTGTGCCAGAGCCCGTAGACACCTGTCAAATGCAGGACACACCCAGGGTCAGACTCGTCCCAGCAAAGATGGGGAGGGTGATGCCTTCATCTATTCCACACGTGGGCCCTGGGTCAGGGGTGGTGACAGGCTCGGGCATCATTTCCTAGGCTCCTTGACCACTGACCAGGGGAAGACACTGCCCTCTCTGGGCTGCAACCAAGCCCGCCCTTGGGAGTTTCTGTGGGTTCCGCTGAGTGCCCTCAGTTCCGGCTGAGCCTTCTCAGGCTGTGTTTTTGGTAACAGGCCACACTCTGCCCCTCTCTGGACGCCAGAAGCTGGTCTTGAAAGACGGGGTCTCTGGGGGGCTCTGGGCTGCACTACCCAGAACCCAGTCAGGGTGGGAGTCTAATCCCCAGTCCCTGGGGGGACTGCCCCCTGCTGGTCCACAGGGTCCACACGGCCAAGAGAGGGACCCAGGAAGCTGCCCCAGCCCCGCCGTCCCC